AGACTATGAAGAATGATGAACTAAATCTGAAAGTACTCAGGTCCTTAACTAGGGAATGGCAACCAAAGGTAACGACAATTCATAAAAGAAAAGTCTCTCCTCCATGACGTCCGCAACATTGTTGGGAAACTTCAAGAATATGAAACGGAACTCGGAAGACTTGAAAAACATGAAAATCAAGAGAAGAAATCAAAGAATAATTGCTTTAAAGATAGATTCCAAGGAAGTTGAAAAGGAAGACAATCGGAAGAAGATGAAAATTTCATGCTTCTGTTAAAAGGCTTGGTAAGTTCTTTGGTAGAAATGACAAATCTTTTTCTCATTCAAAAGGAAAGAAACAATTCAAGAAAAAGGAAGCTTCCACATCAACACAAAAAGTCACATGTTATGAATGTGGTAAGCAAGGTCATATCAAGCCGGATTGTCCGAAACTCTCCAGAAAAGGTGGCTAAAAAAAGCAAAAAGGGATTCAAGAAAAAAAGGCCTATGTTTCATGGGAGGATAATGAAATAAGTTCCTCATCCGATTCCGATAGTGATTGAAAGTGCAAATCTAGAATTGATGGCCTCACACCATTCCGATGATGAAGACAATGAGGTTAGTAATGAATTTTCTCTTTTTGATAGTGATGCACAAGGTGCTATAAATGAACTATTGAATTTGAATGGAAAATTCTGTATAAAAGTATTTCATCATAAAAGAAACAAATTTCGTCTTTAGAAGAAAAATGTGAATCTATGGAAAAAGATTTCAAAGAAGAAAAACAAAAATTAAGTGATGAACAAAAACAGAATTTTGTATGCAAAAATTGTGAATCACTCTCTTTCCAAATTGTCCAATTAAAAAGAGTCATTTAAAGATATGAAAAAGGCCAAATTGGATTGAAAGGTGTTCTTAGCCAACAAAAGATACTCCAATGATAAAAGTGGACTTGGATATTCAAAGTTTTCAAACCAAGTTCTAATAAAACTATCTTTGTAAGGCTAGTGGTCAATCATCCAAAGAGAAAGTGAACAAATCTAAAATAGTTCATCACTATCCTAAAAAAGAAAACATTTCCTAAGAAGAAATCTTATCCTCCTAGATATAGAAGTAACCTTTGAACCTACTTATTTTTATTGTGGTATTAAGGCCATACACCTAATGCTTTCTATGTTAGAAAATTTAGTGTGGCAAGTGGGCATTATGTGTGGGTAAAGAAAGACACTAATTATGAAGGACCCAAAGCAACTTGGGTACCTAACAAAGCCTAATTTGTTTTATAGGTATGCTGAAAATCACATGCAATCTTTGGTATCTTGATAGTGTTTGTTCAAAGCATATGACGGGAGACTTAAACCAACTTTGAAATCTAGTTCTAAAGGCCAAGGGTTTTGTCACTTATGGAGACAATAATAAGGGAATTAATTCTTGGCAAAGGCAAAGTTGGTGCTCCACCTTTCACATCCATTGAAGATGTTCTTTATGTTGAAGGACTAAAGCACAATCTTCTTAGTATTAGTAAACTTTGTGACAAAGGCTTCAAGATCAAGTTCACCAAGGATGAATGCTTTATAGAAGACTAAGTAACATATGAGGTTATACTTAAAGGTAAAAGAATATAATATATTCATGATTTCCCTTGATGATCCATCTTTGAAGGTAAAATGTCTCATGGCGAAACAACACGATGATTCATGGGCCGTGGCACAAAAGAATTGCTCATATTCACATGGAACACTTGAATAAACTAATCAAGCATGATCTTGTCATTAGGTTGCCTAAGAGAAATTTCGTTAAAGATAGACTTTGTGATGCTTGTCAAAAAGGGAAACAAACAAAATCAACTTTCAAATCTAAGAATGTGGTGTCTACTACAAGGCCACTACAACTGTTACATATGGACTTATTTGGTCCATCAAGAACAAGAAGTTTCAGAGGTAATGTATATGATTTGGTTATTGTTAATGATTTCTCTAGATATACTTGGACATTATTTTTAGTGCAGAAAAGTGATGCATTCAAGGCGTTCAAGAAATATGCTAAACAAATTCAAAATGAGAGTCTCTAACAATTGCCTCCATAAGAAGTGATCATGGCGGAGAATTTCAAAATGCTCTATTTGAAGAATTTTGTGGAGAACATGGAATATCTCACAACTTCTCGGCACCAAGGACTCCTCAACAAATAGAGTGGTAGAAAGAAAGAATAAGTCTCTTATGGAACTTGCTAAAACGATGCTTAGCGATTCAAATCTTCCAAAATATTTTTGGGCGGATGCGGTGAGCACATCATGTTTTGTTAGCAATAGAGTTAACATAAGACCGATCTTGAATAAAACTCCATATGAACTCTTCAAAGGGAGGAAACCAAATATTGCTTTCTTTCACATTTTCGGTTGCAAATGCTTTGTCCTAAACAATGACAAAGATAATCTGGGTAAGTTTGATGAAAAATCCGATGAAGGTATTTTTCTTGGTACTCACTCTCTATTAAAGCATATAGAATATACAACAAAAGAACTTTGTCTATTGAAGAATCTATACATGTTTCTTTTGATGAAACTACCCCTCCAAGGAGGATAATATTGTTTGTGATGATGATGATGAAATACTAGAAGGACCTCAAGGAAAATACTTCCAAAGATCAACCAATTCAAACACGAAGAATCATCCCAACAAGAATCAAATCTCAATGATCTACCAAAGAGAATGGAGAACTCATAGAGATCATCCTATCGATAAAGTAATTGGTGATATAAGTCAAGGTGTGACAACAAGACTAAATCTCAAAGATGCTTGCCTAAACATGGCGTTTGTCTCTCAAATTGAACCTTCCAAAGTTGATGAAGCCTTAGGCGATGACCAATGGATTATGGCTATGCTAGAAGAATTAAATCAATTTGAAAGGAATCAAGTTTGGGAACTTGTCCCTAGGCCAAGCAACAAACACATTATTGGAACAATATGGGTGATTAAAAACAAACTTAACGAAAATGGAATAATTGTTCGGAACAAAGCAAGGTTGGTAGCACAAGGATACAATCAAGAAGAAGGAATAGATTTTTAAGAAACTTTCGCTCCGGTTGCAAGGTTAGAAGCTATTCGTATCTTACTTGCCTATGCTTGCTCATTAAATTTTCCAGCTTTTCCAAATGGATGTCAAAAGCGCATTCTTGAATGGATATATCAATGAAGAAGTCTACGTTAAGCAACCCCCGGGGTTTGAATATTCAAGAATCCATCTCATGTATTTAAATTGAGAAAAGCTCTCTATGGGTTGAAACAAGCACCAAGGGCATGGTATGATCGGTTAAGAAACTTCTTATGGCAAAAAAGGTTTCGAAAAGGGTAAAGTTGACAAGACCTTTGTTTATCAAGAAAATCAAAGATGACACTTTGCTGGCTCAAGTCTATGTTGACGATATCATTTTCGGATCTTCAAACCAAGAATATGTGAAGAATTTTCAGCAATGATGCAAGGAGAATTTGAGATGTCCATGATGGGTAAAATGAATTATTTTCTTGGACTTCAAATCAAACAATTAAAAGATGGCATCTTCATCAACCAATCCAAGTATTGCAAGGAACTCTTGAAAATATTTGACATGGATAACTGTAAGGCAATGTCTACACCAATGGGTTCCGGTACATATGTTGATCAAGATGAATCAGGTGTTTCCATCGACATTACAAAGTATCGAGGTATGATTGGCTCCTTATTATATTTGATGGCAAGCCGTCCTGATATAATGTTTAATGTTTGTCTATGTGCTCGCTTTTCAAGCGAATCCTAAGGAATCTCATCTCACGACGGTTGAAAAGGATCATGAAGTATCTCAAAGGGACAACAAATGTCAGATTATGGTATCCTAAAGGTAGTGTTTGCAACTTAGTTGGTTATTATGATGCGGACTATGCAGTTGTAAAACTGATAGAAAAAGCACAAGTGGTACTTGTCACATCCTTGGAAATGCATTAGTATCATGGGCCTACAAGAAACAAGCATGCGTTGCTCTTAGCATGGCCAAAGCAGAATATATTGCAGCGGGTAGTAGTTGCGCTCAATTTTATGGCTCAAACAACAACTTCGTGACTACGAACTCGATCTAGGATGCATTCCTCTATAGCGCGACAATACAAGTGCAATAAACATTACGAAGAATCTGGTCATGCATTCAAGAACCAAACACATAGATATACAACATCATTTCCTTCGTGATCATGTACTTCAAGGAGATGTCGAGGTGACATTTATAGATACTCATAATCAACTTGCCGATATCTTCACTAAATCTTTGGCAAGAAAACCGTTTTACAAGATTCGACGAGAGCTTGGCATTCTTGATGAACACGACATATAAGGTGCTTTATATCCTTGTTATGATTTTATATATATGTTTTTAGCCGTGCTATATGTGAAATATATATGTTAAGTGGTGTTTAAGTTTAAGAAAAATATGTTTTTGGTCATTTTTTGGTTGATGCAAATCGATTGCACAATAGTGTAAATCGATTGCTCACTGAGTGTTTTTTAATTTTTGATCTTTCTGTTTCAGTGCAA